CTCATTCAGAGTTTCCTTTTTCTCAGCTGTAAAACAAAGGGTTTGAACCTCGGGCAAACACTCTCAGAAACTAAATTTTTCTTCCCCTCACATGGAAATTATAACGTCCATCTCACTGAGGCATATGTGGGATGATGTTTGTTAAACTTCAAAACCTGTTTACTCTTTGGATCATCATTAGCTATACCATTAAGCCATGGATCTGTCACTGCTGATGTCTGAACCTGAAAAAAAATGTCCCACATACTGAAGACACCTTGGAAAGTCAATTCATTCAACTCATGCTTATGCTTACAGCATTGACTGCAAATTGTTTTAATTTTTGTTTGATACCAAGATTCTTCATTTTATATAAGCAAATAAGCTTTTAGGGTGGATCTGCTCAAATTTCTCAAGGCAGAAAACCAGATTTCTGCAATATTTTTGAATGTAAGAGTTCTCAGGAGAGGCTCAAATCTATCTTCAGTAACAAAAGAGCACTGAGAACAAATATATTCACATCAATTTCCTGGGATCTTTGGCTTTCTCTACATACTGCATAGACTCCATCCTGGCAAACTGTCTTAGATTCAGACATTCTAAGGAGAGTTTGAAGATAGAGGCCATGTATAACTCACTCTGTCCCTCTAATTTCTAGCACACATCAGGGTTTAAGAGGAGAAGACAGAAGGGAACTCTCAGTGGTATCACCCCACCTCTCCTCCAATGGCAGTGATTCTGTTCTGCCCCAAGCTTGCATGTTCCACTCAGCAAAACCAAAGCTGTATGACTAACTGTACCTACCCTCCTTAAAAGGCAGTTTACTGCCCATCAGCTGTTACTCAAATATGTCCCTTGAAGGAGGTCTCACCCTCAATCTAAATAGCTTATCAAGGCATTCCTTCCAAGACCACATCATATTCTTCATGAAAGGAGTTATGGTAAATACAACAGGGTCATACTTTTACAATTATAAAAGATTCCTATCCTGGTCCATTCATCTGTCAAGTAGAGATAATAACAAAGCATTGATTAAAGATTAAATGAGACAACTGATGGTTTGGGCTGGGTAATCAAAAGGAATGATTTTTCTAAGGATATACAAGTGACCTCATTGTGTACTGACTTAAAAATGCTTCTTGTCCTAGCTGACTGAATACAGCTTTCTATTGAGCATTCCACATCCACTTGCTAATTCTATCAGCTCATATTGGTCTGAATTTTACTCTTTATCCACATTAGCCAGAGACAGAGAATATCATGACCACAGGACCTTTCAATGCAAGCCCTTTGTATACTGCTCTGAGCCGTAAGTAACAAAAAACCAACTAAACCTAACTTAAACAATAAAAGGAATTTATTGGCCAATGTAACAAAACCATCTATCTAGAGGTAGGGTCAAACACAGGCTAAGCCTGATCCTGTACTTAAACAATGTCACCAAGGACCTGGCTTCTTTCCGTCTCTCAACTCTCACTTTATTAATGTCAGCTTCAAGCCAAGAATGGTTCCCCCTCCATGGTCCCAAGATAGCCACCATTAAGACCCAGGACTGCCTACTCCTTCTTTCACATCTAGCAGGGTGGATAAAAAGAGTTTCAACTCAGCATTTCCAGAAAAAGTCTTGAAACTTCCTCTGGCTACATTACCTTAGCTCACATGATAATACCATTGTAGCCAGAGAGATGGAATGTGCTATTGGCTCAATCCAGTTCATGGGGTTCACCCCTGGAAGTGATGATAGAGCCAGCTAAGCTAGATCATTAAATCTCAATACAGAAATCAAGGCCTTCTGGGAAATAAAATGGGGGGACAGACATTGGAAATGCAACCAGCAACATCTACCACATCCCTTATTGTATGGATGGAAATTTGAGACCAAAGAGGGAAAAGACCTTCCCAAGTCACAGCAGAGCAGAGCTGGGACTACAACCCAACTCTTTAATCTGTAGACCCTGTATTGTTTCCACTCTACTACTTTTACTTGTTCAGGCCAACTTGCATAATATTGAATGGTGATCAGTATGGGTTCAGACCAATCAGTTTCTCCCTAAACCTGAATGAACCGGAGGCATCACATTTCAAACACATCCAATGAGTTTCCAGTCAAAAGAAAACAAACCTAAAAATTCTTTCAGCCACAAAATCAACCCCAGCATTTCCATCTCCCCTCTCCGGGCCCCCTAAGAACCAAGTAACTCCTGCTACTTTTAAAGGAAAAAATGCATTCTGGTGTGCAAACATTATTGCATATTCATGCACTCAAAATCTAATTTTAGCTGCAAGAGACTTCATTATAAGATGCTCACATAATTAAGCAGCTTTCTTCCCAGGGTTTGGAAGCCTCTCTATTCTTCACTCTCATTTACACATCACTGAGATTATCAGAATGTATTTTAGTTTCTTAAAATTATATATTTTGGTTTTTCCAAATTGATCCACAACAGGAGATGAAATCCATGAAAATTACATGTTTTAACACAGGTTTGTGTAACGCCATAGCCTTGGTTTTAAAGTTAGAATCTGTAGACAATCGGGGTTTTGCTGTTCTGTACTGATGGGCTCCTGATGCATTTAACACATTTCTCTCCTAAATACAGATCCATTTTATTCCTTAGCTGGTTAGGACAGTATCCTCTTTATAAAGAAACTGTGAGCTAACTTGGATACAAGACCTAACTTGGAGAGAGACAAATGGACTTTCCCAAAAGGACAGACAGATCCCCCTTTCTGTGATGGCTGCTGAGAATCAGCAGCAGCAGGTGGAGACTTTGCACCTCCTTGCTCATCCAACATTCTAGAGCACCTGAAAAACATCAGGTGCTTTACTGTGAGCATTGACTCAACTTGACCTGGATGCACCCTGACTCCATCATTCTGCTCATTAATATGTTTGACTAAGGTACACATTAAACTGAAAGGCCATTTGAGCAGCTGACACTCCACCTAGAAGGAGAGGTCATCTCTGGGTACATGGCAGCAGGGGATGTACCAGCCTATCTACCAGGAGGAAAGGTCTGAGCTATTGTTCTCCTGACTCTTGAGGTGAGGGTATGGGAAGCCCAGGGGGTCTCATTGTGGCCGTGGTCCTGTTCAGCCTCCCAGCCACACCTCTGCCCTTCTCAGCCTCCATGGCTTCTGAGTCTTCTACCTGCAGATTGTCTGGGTGGCCATGGAGTGAGAGCCACAGCCAGCGAACCAGTCTCAGGTGTAGAGCAGCTTCCTTCTCCATGGGTTGGTGCTTTTCTGTCTCCTTTAAGACTCTAGGTTTGCTCTGGGATGCAGGTGTCCACTGGCCCCTTTATAAGGCAGTGTGGAAACTCCTGGTGGGCCTCGACTACTCCTACAACTCAGGAGACATGGCCTTATCAGAGGCCTTTGCGGACTTGACTTTGGAGCCATGTTGAGTCAATAAATGTTTATAAAGATCCTGTTGTTTCCAGATCTGAGCTGAGATAGGTGATGCTGGGGGAGGGTCTAGAACAGCCTTGGCATCAGTGTGAGTTTAGAGGAACATCAGGAAGGACTTGGAGTCCACCAGGAGCACGAATACTCAAGCCCACTCCTTGGCAAAACTGAAAGCTGGGGAGGCTTCCCTCTGTGGAAAGGCAGCCCCACTGGCACCCCTATTCCTGCCTGTCCTCACTAGGGGTGGCTCTCAGCTTCTCATTGCCAGCTAGAGCAGAGGTCAGGGCATCCCCATGACCAGCTTTCTCAAACCTCTTACATTTTCTCTGTGATGCAGCTTGGCTCAGGCTGAGGGGAAGTCAGACAAAGGGGCCCAGCTGGGGTTATCTCAGGCCTGGACAAGCTATAGAGGGGCTCAGGGGCTGCCTGAGTTCAAACCCACCACCTTCTTCCCCATCACATAGCACAGTGTTCAACTGAGCTCTCCACAACCTTCTCTGTGTCTTGGGTGCCCTGTGCCATGTTCCCTGGTCCATTCATACCTGCAGACCTGAGCTCCCTGGTCCCCACATGACATGTAGCAAAGGGTGATCCAGAAAGGTAATTAGTGTCACCATCTCTGTCCCTCCTAGGCTGAACACTAAGTGGCTATAAAAACAGAGTCCTTTTCTGCGTCCCCACCTTTATCCTCACTCATCCACTCCCTTCCTCCTGCTGCACAGACTCGGAGAGACACACACACCCCAACCGCATTCACCTGTTTTGCAAAAACATCCCAGGGTTTTCCAAGCCTCTGAGCCTTTGCACATGCTGTTCTCTTTGGCTTAATTATCCTTCCCCTCTGCCTTGCTGGGATAATTCATACAGAGTCCTCAAGACCGGGCCGAAGCCTCCGTGGTGCATCCCCCGAAGACCACAGGTACACGCAATGACCGCTTGAGCCTGCATAGCACCCACACTCCTCCTTCTGGGTTTCTTGCTCCTATTTGTGATGACCCCCGCCCCCAGCCTCACTAGACTGTGAGCTTTGGGTGGGGGAAAAAGTGCTTTTCGTATAGGTCTTCTCTTTCTACCTGAGGCCAGCACATAGCAGGTGTCAGCATCTATGAGTGCCCTTCTTTTTTTAAGGAAGTGGATGAACAAATAGAAAAGATGACAGCCTAGCAGAAGTAGAGACAGAGAGTGTGGCAAAGAGGCCTGGTGACAGGAAGTGGTGGAGTGAACGACAGGACAGAGAAGGCTCCACCACAGCCACCTGTGATCAGGGAGAAGCTGTAGCCATGGCCTCTCTCCCCAAGGGTGAAGGGTCATTACTGATGGGCTGAGCAGACCCCCTTCCTCATGATCCAGGGGCAGGACCCAAAGGAGAGCAGGAGACTGTCAAGATGAGTGGGACAACCAGTCACGGTGATCCCCAAGACCCATCCCTCCTGGGTTTCCCCATGCCTACCCCAAATCCCCCCAGCTCCCTTGCTGCCCCACTGTCCCCTCAACCTCATGCCCTGTTTCTGAGGCTTAGCTTTCTCAGAGACAGTTGAAGAAAGAAGCCAGGCAAGGAGGCTGTACTCCAAGGATCACTCATGTTGAAAGGGGTGACATGGGGTACACAGAACTTTCGGTGGATCCTGAGGTTGGTGTGTATATTAGGGGCGCTCCGCTCTGCCCACAGTGTGGCCAGCCCATCTGCAGAGAAGGGGGAGGCAGGGCTGCAGAGTTCATGGCGCCCAGTTGTCATATCACACATATTTATGGGACATCAGACACACATTCAGGGCCTCGTGGCCCAGCAGCAACAGTCCATGAACCCACCTCCACGCCCAGGTCCTTGAGGCTCAGAGCATGAATGGCTGCCCAGCCCAGCATACCACAGTCAAGGATTCTGGCCAGCAAGTCCATGCCCGTGGCTGTAAACAAGAAATCCAGGCCCTCCGAGAGCCCTGATACACATGCGTGTCTGTATGTGAGAGAGAAAGACAGACCAACAGCCTCTGGGAACGTATAACCTAGTATCTGTGTGTAACTGCATCTGCAAGTCTGGGAGTGGCTGGCACACCCTGCCCGGTGGCTTGGCGGTGTCAAACGGGCACCATGAGAGCAGAGTGGCATGTCTAAGCATGCCTAGCTAGGAGTGTGTGTCCATTTTTGTCTGTCCTGTGATATCGGGTCTGCCTGGGTGGGCTAAGGGCTTATGTCCTGTCTCCCTGCATGTGAGGGAGGTAGCACCCGGGTGAGCCTTCTTGCTGGTGGCACAGGCAGCTTTGTGTCCCAGTGAGGCTGCCACTCGCGCATCTGTGTAGGTGCTACCCTGGGGGCGGCTGGCTCTCAGTGGGGTGGGCAGAGCAGCTGGCCTATCATCTGGGCACATACTCCCTGGGCAGCCCGGCCCAGTTGTGGTCACGTAGGGCCTGGTCCACCGTCCGGATGTAGCCATTGATCAAGTCCTTCATCTCTGGGGTGAAGGGCTCGGGGTCCTGAGGGTGCCCGCCACGCCGCCGGAAGCTGCCTTCCTTGTTGTTCTCCACACAGAGCAGCCTCTCCTCACTCACTGACACATTGAGGAAGGCCACCATCTCCCGCAGTGTGGGCACCAGGCTGTGCCGCAGCTCCTCGTAATGCACAACCAGCAGCCGCTTGCCATACTTGAGCCAGTCCAGGACGTGTGAGGACCACCACGAGGAGTAGCTATTGACGAAGTCCGGCCACTCTGTGGAGGAGAGGAGTGCCACATCAGGGCCCTGCCTGGCAAGGATGCTGGCCCTTCTGGATGCCCAGAGAAGCAGCCAGGATTTCCTATTACCTACTGCCCAAGACTAACTTGCTAAAATATCCTGTGCAGAAAGACCCTTTTGGTGACCTAGTGTGCATAAGCGTTAATATTAGGCTGGGCTCTGAAGAGTCCTATGCCAGCCAGGGAGGTGTGACCTTGAGTGTGCCTGCCCCCAGCAGTTACCTTGCAAGCACACCAAATTAAGACAAATGTGGACTGCGTGTACCAAGAACTGGTTCTTTCTCTCATGTGCTATGCATTCCTTGACCTTAGTGAGAGAGAGCTGGGTTGGGCTGGGCCTCACTGCATGATACAGTGATATTAAATACAGGTGGGAAACTGAAGCAGGGCATCTCTGTCAAGATGACCTTCATTCACCTTGATCTTGTCTCTGGCAACTATGCACATCTAATGTGGGTGATGAGAGCCGAGCAGTGAAGTGGGGGCAGCTGCTGGGTTTCCTGGTAAGAGGAAGATGCTGTGCAGGCCTGACTTCCTGTCCCAGCCCCTCCCATAAAGCTAAATGAGCGTGGTATCTGATTGATGCTCACTGTGTCTGGTGGGTGTGATGCACAGCTATGGCACAACTATGTCAATGAAGCCATGGATAGAGGCAGCTTCAAGCTTCTGCAAATGACCTACTCCATAAGATTGCTCTCCCAGCAAATGAAGAAATTAGAGTTTTGGGGGTGAGAGGAGAGCATGCAAATGTCAAGAATCACCCCAACAAAAATAGTTTCTATAACTGGGCTATTAACACACGTCAAACGCTTTGGGAAGCATTTGCTTTATCTGATCTTTGCCACAACCCCATGAGGTAGGGACCAACTTGTTTTTCAGATGAGAAAACTGAAGCTCAGAAGACAAGGTATGCAGCTTGCCTGGGGTTACTGAGTTGGTAAAGGGGAGTCAGCAAGGGGGACGAGGATGGCTGGGGGAAGGAAGGTGGTCTAGGAGGGGAAAGGGGAAAGGAGAGGACATGGGTCAGCATCAGCTGATCCAGAGTCATGCAGGGACAGGAACACAACCTGTCTGGCCTATAGACCCCGTCTCATCATGCCACACGCTCTGCTAGACACAGTTTTATTTCTGATGGCTTAATTTTATCTCGCTCACTACCCTGACTTGTATCTCTGTAACTCATTGCCCAAAGGCTAGACTGTGCATGCCTTGAGGGCAGAGACTGTGACCCCTTTCTCAGGATACAGTAGGACTTCAGTAAGTGTGTATCAGCAGACTGATTCCATGAATAAAGTTGCAAAGAGCCCCCAGCCCACCGGCCCCTTCTGTACCTTTGCTCTTCCAGTTTCGGTCAGCTGCATAGCCCAGGTGCCCGGCACACTTCCTGTTGAATTCAGCTACTAGTGACCTGTAAGGGTTCCGGATCAGCAGGATGGCAGAGTCAAACATTTCAATTTCCCTCTTGCCACTCTCATGGGTCTTCACACAGATGGTGCGCCGGCTTCGCCAGTGGTCCTTCTCACCCTTAAACCCTGCCCGGGAAAAAGGAGAGGGCCGCTTTGGAGGAAGGCATGGTAGAGCCCCCACTGCCATGGCAACAGATAGACTGAATGCTAACCAGCATGCCTTAAAGGAAGCTTTCAATAGGGGCCTAAGAGAGGCCTGTGGAAGGCACAGCAGAGAGCACTGGAAGAGCCTATGGATGATTGACAGGGTGGCCTCTCCAGAACTGAGCCTGCCCAAGAGAAAGTGAGAGTAGGAGGTGTCTAAAAGTGGGGAAAGATGTCGTCTGCAAGAGAAAGGAGGTAACGTACCTCCCAAAGATCCCCAGGAGGCAGGAGGCAGAGGGGCCTGACCATGCCCCATCTCTAGGAATTGCAGATGCATATGTTTGGGTATTTTCTTGGCAATTTCACATGAATATTGAAAATAACCCTGTGAGTCAACTATAGCTACAGGTATAGCTAGATGAAGAGACTGAGGCTCAGAGTGGGTATGTGACTTGCTCAAGATCACACAGTGCCACAGCGACAGAGCCAGGGCTCTCTCTACATGGCTCTGTGCGTCCCTGTAGGCCCCTGGCTTCCACCCACCTCTCCATAGGATCAAGAGCTGTAAGCGGCTGTTGTCCCTCCCTATGACCTTATGCCATGGTCCTATAACAGGGCATCCTTGCATCAATGCAAGAGAGCCTCCACCTGGGGCCCTAGAGTGAGTCTGGCCAAGGTCTCATGCACAATGTTTGAGCCCAGCCATGATGAACCCAGAACCCAGTTTCTATAAACAGAACCTTATTCCCATTGACCAACCTTTCTAGGCTGGGGATCTGCCTTCCTCCTGGGCCCCTTTGGCCATTACTGGGCACTAGAGGCTGAATTACTTATAACTGAGAAGTCCAGACCCTATCCATCCACACACAGAGTCACGTATTTATCAACAACGATTATTGTGTACTCATTCTGTGTTGAACTTTATGTCAGGGATGAAGACTCAGATCCTATCTTTAAGCTTACAGTCTAATAGGGAAATAGCCCAAGTATATTACAGAGCATGGGGCTTATGGAAATAAAATGTAAGGGGAACTGGTTAGAAGGTATAGTGGGATGTCACAGAAGGCTTCCTAGAAAGATGTCCCCTGAACCTAGTCTCCCGGCCACATCTCAACATAGCCCATGCCAACCACCTCTGGGGACATGCTCCATAAATGTACATGACCTTATTTTGGGCTCTTCGAAAAATAAATAAGTGCCTTCCCCCATTTCATGAATGGCTGGGAAGCATTTGTCCATCTACAAATGCCTGGAAATTTGCAAGTCTCCTTCGAAGTTGGACATCTGGGTTCACCTAGTGAAACTCAATATGTTTCAAACTCATCACTGCTATGGTCAAACACCAAAAGTCTTTGCTTTGATTCATTCTGTCAAATAACTGGAGTTTCCAAGAAATGAGCATTCAAACCAAGGGCTAAGTAAACGTGAGATCTGGTCTTTGACACCCTGAGACTCAGGGTGCCTTTCATACTTCCCCGGCCTATTTCGACAGCGGCCATTTTCCTTATAATTCAAGACACGCTCACCTAGGACAGGTTTGGTATTTTGGCACTGAAGCTGCCTTGCAAATTTCAGATCTGTGTGTGTCATTGCTCTGTTAAGAAGTACTCTGAGGCCAGGAGCTGACCAGTCCTGTAAGGCTCAAAGATACATTTCGAGGTAGTGTTGCCACAACTCATATGTGGCTATTTGAGTCATTGGGCCACTTAGCAATTTGTGGACCAAAACAGCCAGCTGTGTGAATAAGGTAGCCCTTCTAGATGAACAAGGTGGGTAACTGCAGCCTGTGGACAGTGGGTGGTTCCCAGGGACTATGTAGGTGCCCATAACATTCAAGACTCAAAAGGACAATGGGGCTAGGTTATATAGACAATCTTGGCTTTCTCCAAACCAGACCAAGGTTGTTGTAGGTGATTCCAGAACCAACTGCCAAGCTCAGGAAGTTTCCATTTTCTCTAGGATGTTACTGATAGTATTCTCTTTTCCTTAACCAAACTCTTGTTAAGAAACCCAGGGAAACTGTTGTAATGCTTAACAACAGAGAAATATACTTCACCAAATTTAGATTCTGCTTGACTTATCTGAGATTCTTAGTTCTTAAACAGCACACAGACTTGAGCCATTTAAGTTCATTTATTTGGCATAATAAGGCATTTTATTTCTACAAGGGCAAGATTAAAAATCATAAAACTCTTGAATATGTTTGGACCTATTTTTTTACAATAAAACTTTGATAAGCTACACTTTGCCTTAAAAAAAAAAAAGAATGAGCAGATGAAGTCAGTCTCACCTAATTACTGAGAGTTCTGAAAATTAAGGAAAATTTGAGAAATGTTTCTAGAGAGGAAATCCAAGTTACTAGACTTTCCCTTTGAATCCAGAACAGATATGAATTTTTACTCCAAGTGTGGTCCTAGGGCTGGCTGCATCAGCATCCCCTGGGAGCTTGTTAGAAATGATAGTTCCTAGGCTCCTACCTCAGATCAGCTGAACCACACTCTGGGTGTTCGGCCAAGAAATCTGTGTTGAATTTAACCAGCCCGCCAGGAGATTCTGATACACACTCAAGTGGGAGAAGCTCGGCTCCAGTGCTCCGAGTGGATAGTCTGGGCCTGGGAGCTGCCTTTTGCCCCTCCCGTGAAGCCTTCACTTACCTTTGTTGTACAGAGTTCCGTCAAAGTAGTAGCTCCCGGTGTAGAAGCCAGTAGCATGCTCAATGAGGTGCCGTGCCCAGGTGTTCCCAGCTCCTGGGAAGCTCGACAAAGCCACGAACACTTTGGATTTGGTGGGCAGGAACCTCCTGTCTGTGCACCGAGTGTCTGAAAGTCCAGAAGTCATCTCAAGGTCACTCTCCCCATTACGACTCACAGACTCACCTCTGGATTCCCATAGCCAGGAACTGCTGATCCAAGACTCTCACTCAGGAGCAGGGCAAACTGAAGCCCAAAGAGGACAGCTCTGTGGCTGGCCAGAGAAAGCTCCAATGACGACAAAGCCTCCAAAGGCCCAGGCAAGAGTGGGGTGCAATTCAGCACCCAAGGAACCCTCAGCCTCGGCTTTGTCTCCATGGCCACAGCCAAATATCGGCTCCCAGCCCAGTACAGATAACTCCAGATTCTGTGGGGGAGGTGGCTAGGAGTCATGGCTAGGATGACCAATGCTACATACCCAGGTATAGCCAACAACAAACCAGGGCTGGACTAATTTCAGGCAAGTAACCTCTCTGTGCCTCCTCTCCTTCCACCCAGGGCTGCAAGGAGCACATGACATCATCAAGTGAAAGCTCCAAAGCCCTTGGGCAGTGCTGGGTCACAGCATGTGCTCCATGGTGGTGGCATAGTCCCTCCATCAGCTCCTAAGGTCAGCTGGGGCAGACCAGATGCTCTAGCAGAAAAGATGCCGGAGCCTGGGGTTAGTGCAGAAATCCCTAGGTCATAGGCTGGCTTGGGGAGGCCTCTGAGGCCTTGGAGGACTCTGGACCACTGAACTCCCATGCCACATACACCACTACTTAGCTGTTATTATCCACCTGGGCCATGCCTCTCTGCTCTTCCTTTCTTCTTCAAACCACATTCATCCCCAGGGAGACTCAGATAAAGGTCAGGTGCTCCTTCAATCCGAGCCCTGTATCCTGAGTCAAACCAACAGGGATGGCAGAGGCCTCCCTCTTCTCATTCTCCCACGATGGGATCGCCCATCATGGGAGAATGAGAAGAGGGAGGCCTCTGCCTCTGCCTTAGACACCTTCCTCATCTGGGACTGTACACTCAGCCATGGCTGGCATCTCCAAACCCCCAGACCAAATGCCACAACCAACAGCAGGCACAGGGAGGATGGCCCTGCACACTTTATCTGCTTCTGGGGCAGGGGCTCACCTTGCACAGGTGTCTGGTAGACCTTGCAGTACTCCATCAGCCTCTGTGCCTCAGGCTCCTGGCCACAGAGTGAGCTGTCCACAGCATCCCGCAGGTTGAATTGGGGGGTGGGGTAAGCACAGTAGCACTCCCAGCCCCTGAGGATGGCCAAGGGAAACTCCTACCAGACAAGGAGAGGAAGAGAAGAATCTCGGGTGAATGTAAGGGCCACATCCCTTAGAGCTCAGGTACCCAGATGAACACATGGCTGTACTGCCAGTTGCAAGGGACATGAGGGATGTCCGTCCACCCTTCCAGTGCTGGGCTCTGTGCCCAAGCCCAGGGAGACAAAGCTCAATGAGACGTGACTCTGCCCTCCGATAGCTCACAGCTGGCTGGTGACAAGTCAACAGTCACAGCACAGTGAGAGCAGGGCTATCACAGAGGGGTGAGAAGGGTGGAAGGCAGGGGGCAAAGACTGGAACTGGACTTTTGAGATGTCTAGGAGGTTGTCAGGAGTGCCAAGGTGGGAACGGGCACTCCAGGCAGGGGGATCCCCATGAGCGAATGTGTGCATGGGTCAGAATGGGACAGATAAGGCCACATAGGGCAGCTCAGGGCTCAACATGTCACTCCTACAACCAACAGACTGCGAGCCTCGAGTGATGTCTTGAATTCCCGCTGGCCTTCCCTCGAAAGAGACCCAACCCAACTCTTATGCCTAAAATCTACTGCAAGGGTACGGTTCAGGACCAAGGATAGATTCCCACACAGCCATCTCTACGAGACGGTAGGGGTGGGCAAGAGCAGGCTATGCTTCACCAAAGTACTCAGTCCAATGGGGGATTCCTAAGAACAGAAAGGCCCTGCCAGGGTTCAGCCAAGCCCGTTCCTGGCGGTCTATTACAAGGTTTCTTGTTCTCCCTCAGGAGGCTGCACCACATGGTAAAAAGAGCTGGGGTGCTGGTATTTGGAAGGTGTAGATGTGAATCTGAGTTCATGGGCTGTATAACCTTGGGCAAGGTACTGAATCTCTCTGAATTTCACCATTGAACAAAGATAATAAAATCCATTTTGCACGTTTGGTATAAGGACTAGATCAGGGTCTTAACTGCTCAGCGCTGGGCCCTGCATGATGCAGGAGTGTTGTGAGTGGCTGCTCCAGCCTTCTGATGCTCAGGGCATCAGCCAGGCTTGCTCAAAAATTCCTCCACCCATCTCTCTAGCATATATTTTTTGAGTACCTACCATGTACCAGGCACTAGATAGAACACACAGCCCTATTTCATCTCTGCCCCTCCTTATATCTTGCACACAGGAGATGTGAGTCTCCTGAAGTGTGGAGAGAGGAGAGGAGTCTATGAGTGTGTGCGTGGGAGGGAGGCCGTGGATGGAGAAAACTTCTCACTGCCAAGGGAAGTGCAGCATAAACCTCTCTATTTTTTGCCCACAGTGAAATCTCATAAATAAATAAATAAAAGAAAATCAATAGCATTTTCTGAGCGTGGCTTGGCAAAGTGGAAGATCTCAGAAAACACAATAGAGGTGGTATCCCCGTCAAGGGAGGGTGAGGTCGAGCCTGGGGCAGGGGGGAGACTTTAGGAAGAAGGGGAGGAGAGGGTGCTGGATGCTGCCCCCCAAGTAGAGCTGTTCTTGCAAGCATAGGCTGGATTTTCTCCTAGAGGCCCAGCAGCCCCCATGAAAGCTTCTCCCACATCCCTCATCCTTTTTCAAGGCTTAGGGACAGCTTTGCCTCTGCCAGGACTTTTAGCAGGGCCCTGGGCCCCATTCGCAGAGCTGAGCTGCCACGTGGGGACAGGAGGGTGGATGCTCTCACTCTCCACACGCTATATACACCTACACACACATACACACTATCTTGCTGCACTCTGCTTCTAGAACTCAGAGCTCCCTTTTGCACTGGAAAAACTCTTATTCTATGGGGCCATAAGTAAGGCACTTCCCCTTTTGGAACCTCAGTTTCTCCACCTGTAAAATGGACACATCCCATGAGTTGGTCTGCCTGGAAGAGTCGGAGGATCTCATTTCTCTCCAGCCCTCTCACTAGCTTCCCCTGATCCACCGAGGGCAGTGACACTAGAACATCCATTCCCATGCCTTTCGTGGGAGAGATCTGAGATGAGAATGGAGGATGGGGGTAGGTAGTCACTCTGGGTGTCCAGAGGGTCCAGGGAGGAAGCACCGTGTAGAGAAAGCACCAGGTTTATAATCCAGAAGACCTGGACTCAAGTCACAGTGCTATAGTTCAATATCTGTGTGACCCTGGGCAAGTAATTGCCCTCTCTGAGCCTCAATTTTCTCACCTGTAAAACGGGGGTAATAATATTCACCCCAAAGAGTGCTGGGAGAATGAAGGAAGATAATGCATGAGAAAGACCCAGCCCAGTGCCTAGCACATAGTAGGTGCTCTCCTATTCTTATCTCTTAAGGCCTTTAATTGTTCTAGAGATGGGCCCCAGACCACCCTCTTGATACTCCCAGTACCTAGAGTTTGTTTCCTAAAATTCCTCACTTCAGCTCTCCCTCCAAGGCTGGCCCCCAAAAGCTCAGAATTAAAGATCAGAAGCCCCTTCCATGGTCACACTTGTGGTCCTTTAGTCTTGACCAGGCACATAAAGAAAAGAATCGCTTTGAAGACTCAGTGGCCACATTGGGGCCCTCTCCCTCTTACCTGCCACACCCCCAGCCACAGCTGCCTTCAATGTCAGCTGCAGTGATGATCCAGCACCAGCAGCCAGGGCCACCGCCACGGTGCAGAGCCAAGGAGACTGGACAAGGAAGTGAGTGGACAAAGGCTGATATACCTCATCAGTATGTCCAGCTAGACTCCACCCACCTGGGGCCCCCAGGCCATTCCTCAACAGAAAGGGAAATCTGTATTCTGACCCACAATCAGAACACCGCTGGCTTCTGGAAGCAAACGCTGCTCATGTGAGTTAGTGAAAAGCCATCGTAGGAACTGCAACCTCCAGCCTTTACCATGGCCGTCCATATGTTCCTACAACACACTCATGCCACCTCGTCCCAGAGCAACATGTTCGTCACAGCAAGTAGTGGAAAACAAGCAGCCTGGGCACCCACAGCATCAAGGGGGAGAGTATGCGGCCACCTGTCTGTGTCCCTGGCACTTCTGTTCACACAGGCTGTCATGGGCTGAATTGCGTCCCCCAAATTTTGTATGCTGAAGTCCTCATCCCCATACCTCAGAATGCAATTGCATTTGGAAATAGAGTCTTTAAAGAGGTAATTAAGTTAAAATGGGGCCATTAGTGTGGGCCCCAATCTAATCTGATTCATATTGTTATTAGAAGAGATTAGAAAACTGTTAGAAGAAAAGATCAGAACACAAACATACACAGACCAAAGGATGACCATGTGAAGACACAGGGAGAAGGTGGCCATTTGCAAGCCAGAGACAGGCCTTGGAAGAAACCAACCCTGCAAACACCTTGATCTCAGGCTTCTGATCTCCAGAACAGTAAGAAAATTAATTTCGGTTGTCTAAGCCCCCAGCAGTCTGTAGTACTTTGTTGTAGAACCCTAGTAAACTCATACACTACCTTCCTTATCAGTTCGTGGCCACTGCAGTTACATACCCCCCTTAGGGCCTTTGTACCTGCTGTTCTCTCTGCCTGGAACGTTCTTCCCCCAGACACCCTCGAGGTGTTCTCCCTCACTTTCTTCGAGTCACCTTTTCTGTGAAGCCTTCTCTGGCTACCTCATTTTAAGTTGCAACACCCCTCCCATCATCACCAATATACCCTATTCCCCTGCTGTGCTTTCAAATTTTGTTTCACTGAGGTATAATTTACTGTGATAAAATGCACTGACCCTCAGTGTACCATTCAAGCTTGATGAATGCATATCAAGACACACAGCCATTTCCCTCACACCAGAGTTTTCTCCATCCCTTCTCAGTCAGCCCTCCCTCCCTCAAAGCAACCACTATTCTGATTTCTATCACTACAGATTTGTTTTATCTGTTCTAGTTGTCCTATAAATAATCATCCAGTGCCTATTTTTGTGTATCTGCTTTCTTTCATTCAGAAACATATTTGTTAAATCCACCCATGTCTTCTCTGTCAGTAGACTGTTCCTTTTTATCGTGGAGTATTATTTCATGTGTAGACATACTGATTCATTGATTTATTCACTTGATGGATACCTGGACTGTTTCTGGTTTTTACCTATTACTAATAAAGCTGCCATGAACATTCTTGTACAAGACTTTCAGTCGATAAATATTTTCATTTCTCATGGGTAAATACCTAAGGTTCCTGCTTCAATTTTCTCCATATAACTTGTCACCATTCAGCATACGATCTGTTTTATCAACTGACCTGTTTATTGCCTGCCTCCATCCATGAGAATGTAAGCAGGGATTTCTGTGTGTCTGATGAGCTTTGCTGCATTCTCTAGAACATGGTGGATGCTTAATGAATGTTTGATGGACAAACCAATGAATGAGCTGAATGAATGAATAAACATCCTTTCCAGAGCCCAACTCTCCCCACAGTTGTTGGCAATGGCCTAGGGCATGAGCCTTCTGTTGGTCACTTTCACTCTGGGCATGAGGAAGGAAAGGAAAGCTGCTGCATCTAAGCAAACCTTCCCCAACCTCAGGGATCCCAGGAGGCTCTGCTATCCTGGGATTCTGTTCAGAGAAGATTTCATCAACAAGGTAGCTCTCTTCAGGGTGGCTGGCTCTGTCCCCCTCCCCAGCTGTAACAGTGTTGCTGATGTTGCTGCCTCACGTTGTTCCCACATCCCAGGGCTGGGGATGGACTGCCCCCACCAGTGACCCAAACCTTTTTGCTTCCTTGAGTGGATTAAACTGTCAAGTTTCTGGGTGTTTGCAGAGCAACGGGAGAGCTGCAGACAGTAATGTAGTTTTATTTACAATATAACGGCTTCAGCGACAACACTGGATTCTGAAAACAGAACAGTTTTCAGCCCTTTGGGGATTTCTAGGACATGATTTTCATAAAAATTAAACACTGATGAATCTTATTTCCCTGCCAACTTCCCCTCCTCCCTCCCCCATCCCAAGCTTCAGTGAGAGAGAGAGCAGAGAGAAAGAGGAGAAAATGATTAGACAAACCAAGGCAAAAAAAGAAGCAGGGACAGATGTGAAACTGTTTCAATCAAATGGGTTAAAGA